CGGCCAGGTCGGCACGGGCAAGAGCAGTTTATTGAACGTCATTCTGAAAGAATTACGTTTGCAAGAAGGTTCCATTCAAGTATGTTAGCAATTCCTCTTTAAGACATTTAAATAGATAAATACAGAATAAATAATTTTATCTATAAAAATAAATTATTTTATCAATTTATTAAATCATTCATACATGTATTTTTAATTAATCAAAATATTTAATTAATAAATATTTTAAACATATAATTATCCTTTTAAATATTTTTTTACAGGTTAATGGAAAGATTGCCTATGCCAGTCAAGAACCGTGGCTTTTTGCAGGTTCGGTGAGACAAAATATTCTATTCGGAAGAAAGATGGATCAGGTTCGATATGATCGCGTGACTAAAGTGTGTCAGTTAAAGAAGGATTTCAGCCTGCTGCCTTATGGTGATAAGACAATTGTAGGCGAGAGAGGTATCAGTCTTTCCGGTGGTCAGCGTGCAAGGTTGGTTTTACAGAATATCTTGATAAAATATGCAGGATATATTCATATTTTGAATTTTGATTCATAATCTTAATTTTACTTTAACTTGTTAATTTAATTTTTTATTATAATTATTATCTTGTGATTATTTTAGTAAATATTTTTTGTTCAAATAAAACTAATTTTATGAAGTATTTTTTTTTTAAGATTTTGCGTTGGATATATAGTTATGAAATATATTAATTATAATATACTAATTATATTGATGAGATGCTAATAATTGACAGAATAAATTTAGCGAGAGCTGTTTACGCTGATGCCGATATATTCCTCATGGATGATCCTTTGAGCGCCGTGGATGCCCATGTGGGCAAACACATGTTTGATGAATGCATCGATAAATACTTACGAGGCAAGACTCGGATTCTCGTCACTCATCAATTACAATATCTTCGCGACGTCGATAGAATTATCGTTCTTAAGGACGGAACTATTCAAGCTGAAGGGTATGAATGATTTTATTGCACTTTCTATCTTTTAAATTTGTGTCTTATTGTAATCAATAATTACAATTTCTTTGTTGAAATAAGATTACAATGACATTGAGAATACATAAATATTTTGCGCCGTTTATTTATAGTTCTTAACTTCGTGATTAAATCTTTGATTTTTTTAAATTGAAAACAATAATGTGGAATTAAAAATATAATTAGTAGACTGGAAGAGAAAAAATTATCTTGATAGTTTTCTTATCATTATATCACAATATGTATAATTCGATTATACTTTCGAGAACAATAGATTTGGTCACTTCGGCTTATCTTCCTGATTATACGACAAAATGATTGTATTTTAAGTCTTTACTTTAATCATCTATTAACGTATCAATCATTATCTTTCAACAAAAATCAATATTGACACGAAACGTTCAATGCCCTGTGGTCGAGTCAAAACAAATCTTCCATTATTTTCAGAAATCTTCCATTATTTACTCGTAAGTTTAAGCTAATATTTAAACTCACTTCTATTATTTTATATGAGTTTTATTTTCTGTTTTTTTTTTATTTTCTCAGCACTTATGATGAGCTGGGATCTATGGGAGTGGACTTTGGTCGATTGTTGGAAAATCAAACAAAAACGGATGAGAAATCTTCTCATCCCTCCTCAGCTCCCGTTAGTCGTAGTAATTCGCGCACTGCCAGTATCTCATCATTAAGTTCTTTTATGACGAATGATACTTCGAAACAGGAACCTGATGAAGTAATTAGAACACATTTTCTAACTTATTTTCTGAAGTAATATGAAATAATATGAATCTTATTAAACTAATATTGTAATTTAAGATAATTGCAAAAGCACATTTTAAGTTGCAGCAAAATATTAGTTTAGATATTCTGATAAACTAGATTTTAACATATTAGAAAAAAATATCACTATTGATAATTAACAGTTAAATAACGAGTTTCATTTTTAAGTACGCATATATCTAAAAAAAACAAGCATCTTACATTTTTATTATTAAAATAACTTTAGATTTTAACACTAAATTAATTAGTAACATAATCGTTAATTTTAGGTGGCTGAGACGCGAACTGTAGGCACTGTTTCTGGCGAAGTATATACGAGTTACTTACGCGCTGGCGGGAATTGGTGCGTTATAGCCATAGTGACTATGCTTTGTATATTGACACAATTAGCGGCTAGCGGCGGTGACTTTTTTCTCGCGCAATGGGTTAATATAGAGGAACATTATGTAAGTGCTTCACTATGCTAAAATAATCTTTTAATTGAGATGTAATCATTTTGCTAAAAGACTCGAGAAATATCTCGAAAAGTATATTTTAATATTTTTATTTTAAGTTCAAAATAGATTATTACATTTTTTATGAACTAATATGAAGCAAATACATGCTTATTACTATTATAATAGAAATACACTTATTATGTAGTTATTACATCTCTTAATCCCAATTTTACTCAAAATTGTTCTTAAAAAATATGTCTTGACTTCAAACAAAAAATTTAAATAAGAAACGATTATTGTTTAAAAGATATTCAAATTCTATATAATTCTATATAAGATATTCAAATTCTGTAATTTAATTTCAGAATTAAAGCAGAAGTTTGATGCTTTAAAATGAATGAGAGATCTCGTTCAAAGTGAAAGTGATCTCCGTAGAAAAGTTAAATAGAAACATGAATTTTATATCAAACTTAAAATCGGAAAGAAAATTACAATCCTAATTACAATCATATCATATTTAATTATGTTTAATTGTATAACATTATAGATGAACCAAACGGATGATGGTGTTGTAGAAGATTCAAAAAGTCCCCTCACTCGCATGCAGTGTATCTACATTTTCAGCGGCCTAACTGTGCTCACAATCTGTATTACTCTGATTCGCTCATGGGCTTTCTTCTGGACGTGTATGCGAGCCTCAATGCGTTTGCACGATCGTATGTTCCGCAGCATCAGTCGCGCCACTATGCGATTCTTCAACACCAATACATCGGGACGTGTGCTCAATCGTTTCTCGAAAGATGTAGGAGCCGTTGACGAGATGCTTCCAACTGCGCTTATCGATTGTCTTCAAATCGGATTAGCGCTGTTGGGCATCATCATCGTGGTAGCTATCGCGAACACGTGGCTGTTAATACCCACAACGTTAGTCGGCATTGTCTTTTATTACTTGAGAATCTTCTACCTGGCCACCAGTCGCAGTGTGAAACGTCTTGAAGGCATCAGTGAGTATCTTAAGCTTGTTTTTCAGTAGAATAATATGGTTTCCTCGATAGAATAAGATTGTAGATTGAATTTAATCAATTATTAATCTCATTGAATTGATAGATTTAAATTCTTCGGTAAACTGAATAGTATAAAATAGTGATAGTGAATAATATAAAAATTTCTAATTTTTCTCAGCCCGCTCGCCGGTTTTCGCTCATCTGAGCGCGACTCTTCAAGGGTTACCAACAATCCGCGCGTTTGGGGCGGAAGCGATCCTCACGAAGGAGTTTGATAATCATCAGGATCTCCATTCGTCCGCGTGGTACATCTTCATCGCGTCTTCGCGTGCTTTCGGTTTCTGGCTGGATGTTTTCTGTGTGCTGTATATTATGTTAGTCACACTGAGCTTTCTCGTGCTAGACAACTACAGTCGAGGTTCAATGGATGGCGGATTTGTAGGCCTAGCGATTACACAGAGTATCGGTCTCACCGGCATGTTCCAATGGGGCATGCGCCAGAGTGCCGAATTGGAAAACCAGATGACCTCGGTGGAGCGTATTCTTGAATATAGGTATTCGCTTATGGATATATATCTTATATCTCTGCTATAGTATTTGTATTACTTAGCATTATCTTTATTAATTGTTTTATTGAAATATCAATTATCTTTATTTCATATATTAGATTAAGATTCAGGAAAAATTAGGAATATAGAATTTTTCTAAATATTTTGCTCTTCGATTGTTAAATAACATCGTTAATGTTTCTCGCTTTAATTCTCTTCCAGCAAAGTGGATAGTGAGCCTTCTCTCGAGAGTGCTCCTGATAAAAAGCCTAAATCCGAGTGGCCGCAGAAAGGCAAGATCGAGTTCAAGAATGTATTCCTGCGCTACGCGCCGTTACAGCCTCCAGTGCTCAGAAATCTCTGCTTTGTCGTTCTTCCTCAGGAGAAAATCGGCATCGTCGGTAGGACCGGCGCAGGCAAGTCATCCTTGATCCAAGCACTCTTCCGCCTGGCTGACATGGATGGTTTGATTGAGATTGACGCAATCGACACGAGTCAGATCGGCTTACATGATCTCCGTTGCAAGATCAGCATTATTCCGCAGGAACCATTCTTATTCTCCGGCAGTCTGAGACGGAACCTCGATCCGTTCGATTTGTATCCAGACGAACCTCTGTGGCGAGCCCTTGAGGAGGTCGAATTGAAGGAAATAGGCTTGGAGGCCCACATCAATGAGGGTGGCTCCAATCTGAGCGTTGGTCAGCGGCAGTTAGTCTGCCTGGCGCGCGCTATTGTAAGGAATAATCCGATACTTGTGTTAGACGAAGCGACCGCGAATGTGGATCCGCGAACAGACGAACTCATTCAAACAACTATCAGGAAGAAATTCGAGAAATGTACGGTACTAACAATTGCCCACCGACTCAACACCGTTATGGACAGCGATCGCATACTAGTGATGGACGCTGGCAATGCTGTAGTGAGTTTTTTTTTTTAATAATCTTCCCTTTTTGTATTTTTGGGTTGAAATGGACCAATGAATGAATTTAAGTAGTGAAGTAAGATCGTGAAATCTTTCTTTATTTTTGTGATTGTGGCGAATTATTGCAATTATGAATTTATCAGTCATTTTTGAGTACTATTTTTTTTATTTTATATACTATTTTTTCTGATTAAAATATTTATTTGATTTGAGATCTTTTAAAATAACATAAATTATATATAAATGTACTATTTTATTTTTTGACTTTTATGATAAATTAATTTTTTTAACCATTTTTGTAGTGTTTTATTAAAATAATTTTGTTTGAATAAATCACTTATTTGTTAAATTTACAAAATACTGTGACTAGTTAGTAATGATTATCTTTTTCAAAGTGCTCATAGCATCTACTTTTGTGCGAGATAAAGCGCGATAAGAATGACGATTTTATCATCTCTGATACATGTTCCGTAAATGTTTTATATTCGACATAAATCAAATTGTATAGCTTTGTAACGAGAGCAGATCATAAATCGCAAGATTTCTTTCCAAATGCATACTTTTATGTGTACAGGAATTCGATCATCCCCACATGTTGCTGCAGAAGGAGTCGGGCTACCTGAAGAGCATGGTACAAGAAACCGGCACGGCGATGGCGGAGGCTCTGGCCGGCGTCGCCCGCAACTGTTATCAGAATCGCGGATTTATGGCGTTTTGATGCATTCACGGTGTTAAGTAATTTCTCGTAATTGTGTCTAACATAATCGTAATAGGCCTTTTACAATAAGCCATTAGTCATAAATCAGAAGAATAGCGACTATAATTGGTCAATTTTTAGCTGACTTCTGATTTATGACTAATGGCTTATTGTAGAAGACCCACAATAGGTCGCTAGACGTTTTTTGCGAGCAGTTCTTAGGCAAAATTCTTGGAATTTGAAAATAAGAAGAATGGAACGCAGATGAAATTCAATCTTAGAATTTAGAATTTACAGTCATCGATGTTTACTCTCTTGTATTATCTCCGTCTTCTATATTCTGTTCGTATTTCATTCTTCCAATATCCATATATCCATATATCACAGTTTTCTAGATTCTTTAATTAGAATTATCTTTGAATGGAAATGTAAAGAATTGTAAATGGTAATCTAAAGCAAGTATATGAAGATGTTATAGAGGTAGGAAAAAATTTGGGACGTTAGGATTTAGATTACTTCAATGCAAATGCAATTTAAAATTAATTAAGTGTGTTAATTAAGAAATGTAAAATGTCTAAGAATGTGTGTGATCAAAATTATCATTTGATCAAAATTAAATTACAAATCAAAATTCCAGGGAGCTAATTAGAAGAATTCGAAGATTTAAGGGAAACCGAGAACTCGGGGAATGCCGAAAGAATACGCAGAAGTGACAAAATTTTTGTCACTTCTGCGTATTCTTTCTCGGCGAAATAATGAATTAATAATTTGCTGCAAGAGTTCCGTCTAGCTGGTCTTTTCATTTTAATAATCGTGAATTTTCTGCCGCCTCGATATAATGACGCGCGATTATCGCTAGTGCAGGCCATTGCAGCGAGCAATTAGGAAATCAGTATAGTTCGCGTGGATCGCGACACAACCTTAGTTACCATAGTATTATTACGTAATTTTGTATGACCTAGATATTTCATCAGAAAGGATGAAGCTTAACCCGTTTGCTCACCGATATTTCTTATCAGCAAACTGCCATACGCTTTAGGGAAGAATTTTTTTGTATATATATATATTTTATTTGTATATATATATTTTTTTTTTTAGAAGTAAATTTGTTACAGAAATACTGCAAATCAAATATTAGCGTATAGATGAAAGAGAATAACAGAAATATGTGTGGGAAAAAATAATGAATGTGAATGTGGAGAGAATAAATTATAAGTCTCATGCTCTTTCTCGAAATACAAAGTTCTAAGAATTAAAATTCCAAGAAATAAAAAACCGGATTATCTCCGATTCATAGCAATTTAAAGACCACAAATTTTGATATCGCTTTAGTGATCTTGAGGCTCTAGACTTGATTCAAAAAAATTTAAGATGTGATTTAGTTGATTTCGATCTTGAAGAAATTATTCTCAAGGACAGCTACAGTCGGTGAATTAACGGGTCAAGAGATTTGTACTTAGCGTATAGATAATGCAGAAAGAAGACTTTTTATACTTATAATATATTTTGATCAATACGTATAAAGAGTATTTGGAAAAAAAAACCAATTACTGCAGGTCCATAATTCGTATATTCGTATATTCTTATATTTGCCTCACTTTACCGAGGCCGTTTGTATTTGTGATTTTGCAAGAATTTTACAATGTTCCTCCTATCGTACTGGTGCTATAAGTACAAGGAAGACCAAAAAGTAAAAGGTGCCTCTAGAATTTAAACTGAAATACTTAAATGCGAAGCGTGCAACGACATTATTTTCTATTATTGTTCTTTTATTATTGTATCAATTGTATGAATAAAATAGCAAAGCGCAGTGTACTCAATTTTTGTAAATGCAGGATTATAAAGCAATTAAATTAAAGTACTTAACACCTTTTTAGAAGATCCTGTTTTATATATTCGAAAATTTTTGCCGAGCCTAAAAAGTAACAAGCGAGTGTCTCCGATCGATCGATTGTTACGAAAATATCTTCGGAACAAGTGAAGAAATCATTTTCAATTCTTTGCGAACCAAGCGGAAAATCAACAAGATCATCAATATGGCTCTTTAATTTTTAGCACTGATGCTTAAATATTCAATTTCAATGTTTTAAGTTAATCTTTTATTTGGAGTCTTTTATTCATATCCATAATACATATTTTTCGTAATCTTTAAATGTATATTTTTTTAATCCCTTAATGAATAAAAATCATTGTTTGGAAATCTAAATCTTTAATGAGGAACCTTTGATTCTCTAAAAATAATATTATTACATTAATTATATCAAATCATTGTATAATTTGTTATATCAAATAAGTGAAGGCAACTGGGTCGATCTGAGACACTCCATGTAAATCAAAATTGCCTCGTGCTCAGATTTTGATCTATTTTCTGTCATTTGTAGTCACCTCAATAACTTTAAGTAATCGTTTCAACTGTAGCATAATTTTTAAAGGTGTAGGATGTTTTTAAACTCACTCTCTTAAAATTTTGTTGAAATTATTCCACGTTTTAACATTTTTTAACAAAAATTCAGCATTTCAGCAAAATTTCAGCAAAAATTTCAGCTAATTTTCAGCAATTTTTCGTTGAAATGTTCAAAACGTGGAATAATTTCAGCGAAGTTTTTTTCAACACTGAAGCATTGATCACTTTGTAATACAATTATATTGTTATAAATATTGTTATTATTGTACTACGATATACAAATGTATATTGTACGGTGTAGTATGATTACACGTATGAGTTACACGACAGGGTACAATATGTATTATTACTATGATATACAATAAATTGTATACAATATAGTGCGATTACATATATTATTGTACTACGATACAAATATGCAGCGTATTTGATTTAAGTGTATGGACTTAAATAATAGATAGTTTAAATAATAGATTTATTTAAGAACTTTTTCGATTAAAAATTATTTTGTTTAAGAAAATTTCATATTTAATTTTTTTATTTGAACAAAAATTTTAAATTATAAAAAAAATTATCTAGTTTTATTTTGTAAAATACTTTTTTATATAGAGTTTTTTAATTTTTTAATTGAAATAAGATATCTATTTTATTACATATACGGTTTTATGTGGTGATAACTACCGAAAATTATACTTTATTATATAGTATTTAATTAGTCATAAAGAATCTTATAAAACTATAATAAAATAAATATATTATTCCATTAAAGAAATAAATTTCATTAAAAAGCATTGAAAAAAAAATTTAAAACGTTTGTTTAAGTCATTATGAAATCTTTTTAAAGAAAAATAACATAATCGAAAAAATATTTTGTGATTATTATTCTAAAAATATCAAGTATATACAATTGAATCAAACTCACTATATATTGTGCTTTAATATTATTTCAATAGATATTAAAGCATAATTTTATGAAACTGAAAATATATTAATAGTAGAAAAAAGATTAAGGAAGCACGAGCGCGATTTGTGACGAATTCCAAGGTACATATTCCGTATATTACACGAAACGCAATTGTGTTGTAATCGTCATTGTCAATATTTATTATGTATTTAGTATTATGTATTTAGTAGATATGTAGGTATGTTGTACTTATAGATAAAAAAAAAACAAATTAGAGTACCTTACATACAAGTGCCTACATTATGTAATGTAATCATTGTAAACAAATTGTAGATATAAATGATTATTTATGTAACTACTACTCGTTATATATATATATATATATTTTTCCCTCTACTTTTCTTTTTTAAGACTCCTCTTTCCTGCGTACTCACTTCAGCCATATTAAATCGTCATGAGCGAGAAATGATATATTGATTTTTCTTGCATGCTATTTGTAAATAAAGAACAATTTGAATAAAATAGAATAATGAAAATAGTCGAATAATAATTCGTGAAGTGAATAAGTTCAGTTTTGAATAAAAATTAGTAAACGTACTTTACATGTCTTTTACGATTATTTGTCAAGGAGGATAATGTAATATGATAATTATTCTTAATATCGCAACATGTGTTTCGCTATAAATAATTAAGATGTTTGCACATGTCATTGTTATTCGCATCATCAAATAAGATGCAGTCAATCAGACACGCATAATACAAACTGGGATAAATATTTCTAATTATCTAGATAAGATGAAGTTATTGGTAAAAATATTTCAAAAATGAATATAAAATTCAACGAAATATTTTATTGAAATCAATATTTCATTGAAATTTCATTACAATTTTTTCATCAGAAATTCTTTTTAACTAATTGTAGCATACGTCGATCACATGATTAATATGTAATATACTGTATGTACACGATATTACGATAATATATGAAAGAGAGAGACAGTCTCGTAAGCCTCAGTAAATTATCACAGTTCAACCATTTTTTAAAATAGAGGGAATAGATTATTCCGGTATTTTCCAGTATGTATGAGTTCAATTCTGTTTTTCATGCTGCAGTTGTCCCTGTTTTTCGTAACATAATAGTAATTCAATAATTTGTAACTTGTGTGTCGAGTAGGAAAATAGATTTTTCAGGTTTAATTACAATTACCATCGGGTAACTACGAAATATGCGTGCTGATAAACGATATTAAAGATCCATAGCTTTATTCATCATAACGTAATATAGATAAGATATTGCAAGTTTATCATATCTAATCTTTCTCTAAGAGAGAAGGAGAGACGACAGCGAGAATTATGTGGTGGTTGCTTTACGATACGCAATATTATAATAGTTCCCGCTGAGATCTCTTCGCTGTATTCTTAATTCTTTTTATCTCTCCGCAAAAAACGTCGTCGAATGTAATTGCGGCGTGTGTGCACGATACGTGAGATGTATGTGTAAATTGAAGGTCCATTGTAACTTTGCAGAAAAGATTTCTGTGAAATAAGACACGTCATGGATGGAAAAGTGTACACCGAAAAAGTCGAAAATCCCAGAGCGAAGGCGAACATCTTCAGCATCTTGACGTTCTCGTAAGTATTTTTAAAGCAAACAGCGAGTATGACTCGAGACCGATTAAAAGATAAAAGATAAAATTGAGAGAAGTGGCTCATGAAAGAGTCCAATAACTACAATGTCCGGGCTACAATGACTTGATATATACTATGTAACATAAGGTTTAATTTTTTTCCGGTCTAAACATATAAACAACTATTCTTATTTTTTAAATAAAAATTCTTTATTTCAATATATTTTTAAAAGAAAAAAAGAGATTAACGGAGATTAATTCTTCACCATTGATCGATTTTTTTCAACGCTATCGAACTTCAATTTTGAAAAGAAAAATATATCATTAGAAGCTAAGTCGATGCTAATGATTAAATAAAAAACAAGAAGTTAAAATATTTTTAATGATATACAAAAATTAATTCATCTTTCTAAAAAATGTATTTAATGTATTTCTTGGGATAGATTGATAATAGAAGTTAAAAATTAGAACTTTTTCAACGTGAAAAGTTAAATATACTTGCACGCTGTCCGAAATATCTGCTACAAGAATGGAGCAGAAGCATTTGCTTCTACTTGACCTTGGCAAACAATTTTTCATATAAATACATGAAATTTATACAATAAATATACATGTTCATGTATATTTATATATATTTATACATATAATATTCATGTATAAAATATTTATTTCCGCGGAGTTGAGCTCAGGCTGTGAAAAGAATGAATCAGCAGAATTCGCAAAATTCGCTAATAACGTATATATATATATACGTGTTTGATTTAATCTGAGTATACATGTCATCAAAATCCGGACAAAATCGAACAATTTCTTTAAACAAAATGTTTTTAATGAAAAATTAAATATTACAAAACTCCTACATGACATTTGGGGGATCCCTATAAAGCAATTATTCGATATATCCCCCATTAGTGTGAATGACCTCTATTCTCGGTCTGAAGCGTTTGCACGGTGTAATATAACACTGTCCATGCCGACGAATGCGGTCCTTAATGACATCACATTGGGATGCCGAGATTTGTTTGTGACCCTTTCAACTACGCTCCATAGTAGTCCAAGGGATTTAAATCTGGGCTGTTGGGAGGCCAGAATGGGAGCCGAGGCGAGCAACTCGGCTTGTTCTGTCTCAGAGAGCATCTGTTGTATTTTTAACGTGTACGATTTGTATTGAAGATTCTTCTTGACAATTCGACGCATTGTTGGCTTGGTTACACCAATAATTGATGCTAATTTTCGCAACGATTATCCTGGGTCATCCGAAATCAGCGCTTGAGTCCTTTCAATGACTGCGAGGGTCCTCGCGGTGCGTTCTTTCGAGTGACTCTTCCTTCCTAGCATACTGGAACCTTCATTGGACTGTTCTAAAGCCGTATATTTTGCCACAACGTCATAAATGGTTGATCTCGGGTATCCAAAGAACCGAATTATTTCCGTTGTTGAGCGCCCAGCGCGAAGGCCTTCGATGATCGCGGCTCTTCGATTATACTCCGCACTGGTTTCAACATCGCGGCCATTTTAAGAATATGACTGTTTATTAGAATCATCAGGCTTTCTCGGAAACGCCAACAACAATCTCTGGCACAATATTATAAGGCGGAAAATTTAAATTGAAATTTGTCCGGATTTTGGTGCATCTTGTATATTATAGAATTATTCCGTCTTGCTTAGAAAATACAATAAAAATCTTTGAAATAATTGAATAATTCTGATCATTCATTCTCTCTATGTAGTGAAATATTTTTATAGATTAAAAATTTAGCCATTTTTTTCAAGATTGGTTAAATTCACTCTTTAGAGTGAGATTCTACTAATTTCTACGAATGCTTGATCATTCAAGTATGAAGGGATTAGTATTATTTTGCGCTTTGATTACAATGCACTTTCCGGAAAAAAACGGTAATCGACGATAAATAAACAGATAAGAAATAAATTTATACGTTTTGTTGTCTCACCTGTATTAGTAAAGCAGATCGATCTTGGATAAACGAACAATGTCACGATTTATTGGAAATCGCTGATATGAGTCAATAAATAATATCAGAATTATCTTGTATATCGCTTTATAAATAAGTTTCTTAAGTTTATTTTCACACTTGATGTGATTCTAATATTTGCATGTCGCTCATTTGTTATAAGAATGATAGATACAATTAAAAACCTGAAAAAAAAAAACAAGAATATAAAAGGAAGAAAAAATTTATTTTAAATTAAATGAAATACTTTTATTTCTCTTAATAAATTACACCGAAATTACATTTCAAAATTAATATTACAAAATT